CACACACCACACACACACACACACACACACACACACACACACACACCACACATAACACACACACTCCTCCCTCTCTCTCTCTCTCTCTCTCTCTCTCTCTCTCTCTCTCTCTCTCTCTCTCTCTCTCTCTCTCTCTCTCTCTCTCTCTCTCTCTCTCTCTCTCTCTCTCTCTCTCTCTCCGCTCTCGCTCTTGCTCTCGCTCTCTCGTTACAGGGAGGAAGAAGCGCGTTGGCACTGAATGGGAATCTTAAGGCTGCGCTCAAGCTGAGTGGGTCCCGTCAATCAACCAATATCAAGGGTGGTGTGTGGGGTGGAACATGAGCAAGGACACCCTGCGTACGAGGCTGGTTAGCCTCCCACTTCCCGCCTGCAGGCGTCCTCGCGCGCCGCCTGGCGGTCACGCCCTCAACAATGTCCGGTCGATGGGCCGGGATATGGCACAGACTGCATCGCTGGCCTTTGAGCAAACTGGCCGGCTGACCGGCGAAGAGCCTCGACAGTCGTCAACACAGCACGGCCGCTGCCTATGCACAGAGCCGGTCTCAGGTGCGGTGCTGGGCAGCCGCGTCCGTCGCCGCCTCCGGCGTGGCCTCCAGCGGCGGCCCGCGAAGCGCTGGTGCGGCCGGCTGCCGCGGCGCGGCGCTGTGCATGGCCTGCAGCCGGGCGTACTGCTGCTGCAGCGCCGCCTGCTTGCGGCGTAGCTCGAGCTCGCGCTCGTCGAGCGCGGCCGGGTCGGCCGGCCGCTGCGAGCTGACGCTCTCGCTGCTGCTGGAGTTAGAGGAGGCGGCGTCGCGGCGCAGGTTCTCGTCGCTCAGCGCAAGCGTGCACCGAGCCAGCGGCGCCGAGCTGGCCCGCATCAGAGGCGCTGACTCCAGCCGGCCGCCGGCCGGCCGCGACGACGTTCTGGGTGGTGGCGGCGGCGGCAGTGGCGGCGGGGGCGGCGGCGGCGACGCGCTGGCCTCCTCGGCAGCCGGCGGCGGCGGGCCGGCGGCCGGCGCCGGCCCGCTCGCCTCCAGCTCACTCAGAAGGGCATCGAGGGGGTTTCGGGGCGCGGCGTCGAGCGCTGCCGCTCCAGCGGCGGCGGCAGACTGGTGGCCCGCGGCGGCGGCGGCGGACGGTAGCTGCAACACCGCCCGAACATCGGTCAGTCGTGCCGGCGCGTTGTTCACGTGAGCTACAGTGACGCCGCAGCGCGAGGCGACCGCTGACCTGCGCGCCGCAGCCAGAGCGGCACGGCGGGTAGATAAGCGCTGATGAGTTGGGTTTAGGGCACGCTGTGAACCAGGCTAACGTAGCCTGGTTCAGGTCTATTAAACCCGGCGTCTCTACCATGGAGGAGCTCGGCACGTCGTACACAAAGTCGGCGGCATCTAGCCGCTTTACACAGCAACAATGATGAGACTCGCGGGTATGGCAGCTTCCACCACTGCTCGTCACGTAAAGGCAGCACACGCGCAGCGAGCTTGTGCATGCATCAGCTCGCCATCCGTTCGAATGACAAGGCGCGTGGGGCTACGCGGAGTGGGTAGGTTTGCTTCCCACCTAACATAATCGGGGTGGGCTCCTTGGGTCTGCACGCATGCAAGCGAAACAACCTTGGTTGTGGCGACAGGTATCATCATTGCCCTCTCCGAGGCTTTACTGCTCGTTGTGAAAATTTCATATAACGTTACCAACTTAGGTTAAGAACAAAATCACTGATCACTAAGTACAATCGGACGACACACGCAACCTAAATGCGATTGAGAAAGTAAAAAAAATGTATACAAAGGTCATGAGTGTAGCCACTAGATGGGCGGGGACTATGTCTCCCCATTTCCTCAAATAGATTTTCCCTATCCAGTTTTGCCCGTACTATGCATGTATTTTCGCGTTGACGATTCAAAACACTAATTTCAGACCAGGCTTTCCCTCCCAGACTCCAGCTTGATCCCACGCTCAATTCCAATTTGATCCCCCCCCCCCTACCCCAATCTCAGACGTGGTACAACTTGTGCCGAACACACTAAGACTTCATGCTTAATCAAAAGCTCCATATACGTTGGTTGACATATCGTTATGGATTTTAACATTTCCTTTATCAATTGCTCGTTAACATCACATGATGATGACCCATGGGCCATAGCACCTAGGCCCTTGGACAAAGCCGTGCATGATGCATGAAAATGCACGATGCATGAAAAACCCTCCCAGCATATTTCTTTCTGGAGCCACCAAGAACTTTTTGCAGCCACCAAAGCACTTGTGATGTCCGTAAACGCACAGTTTCTGTTCCATCAATTTATGCCATCTTTCTGATGGTGCCCTCTGCACAACGTCACGCGACGAGGCGCTGTCATACTCATTTGGTTGGCATTTACTTTTAATTCTGCCACCGACTCCGGAGGCCACATGTGAGGCGGGATAAAAAATATGCAAACACCGATAGAGGAGATTATTTGCTGTGTAGACGCTATGTCAACGTTGCAGATAAATCAAAGGAAAACTAATGGAGCCAGCTGTACAATATTCTTGCTACCAGATCCCACGGTATGACCAAAAATATCGTTGGTATAAGCCCATGATGACATTGTAGCTCGTGGCAGATCTTCGTATTGCACAATCGATGATTAACAGGGAACTGTACAGCTTCAGAAAATCTGTTCTAGCAATTAAGCATACGTTCCAACGAAGCCGATGCCTGGATCATATGGCACAGGGTGCAGTAGCATGCTTGACCTCAGTGACGCGGACGCCCGTATACATGTCCACGTTATAGTGCGTGTAACGTCCCTGCTCTGGCATACCGGGCTGGAAACAATTTCCGATTCTACAGCATCATGCAGCTGCCGACCAAAGCTGCTAAAAAGAAACGCCAGCTAACAGCAACTATCTCTAAACCACTTGGGGGCCAGGGCTCTGACTGTATGGCAGCGCCTCGGGGGCAGGGGGCTGGCATGCACTGTCTGGCGTGGGGACCACCGGCGGCGGGAGCAGGGCCAGCCACCTGGCGGCCGTGGTTAGGCGGCGCCCGCAGAGTGGCAACTACCGGGGCGTGTCGTACTGCTGACCTGTTCAGACAATGTGCGCAGCGTCTTCCCCGGACGCCTGTCAAACGAAGGGCATAGCTCAGTGTAAGCCTTCAAGAGGCCAGCCACTGCCCAGCGGAGCCACGCCACGACGCGACGGATCCAGTGACGCCCGCCGCAGAACGGTGCGAGTCAGCATTCACCCAAATAAAGGGAGGGCGCCCCCGTCCGCCCACCTCGGAAGCAGCTGTGGCCCATGCACACAAGCTAAAGTCCCAACTCTGCAAGCGCAAACAGGGCTTTCATCTGCATCAGCTGCACACCGTTTGCCATTGGCTGGGGCCAGGTACCACACCGTTGGCCACTGACTGGGGCCAGGTACCACACCGTTGGCCACTGACTGGGGCCAGGTACCACACCGTTGGCCACTGACTGGGGCCAGGTACCACACCGTTTGCCATTGGCTGGGGCCAGGTACCACACCGTTTGCCATAGACTGGGGCCAGGTACCACACCGTTTGCCATAGACTGGGGCCAGGTGCCACACCGTTTGCCATTAACTAGGGCGAGGTACCACGGTTCAAGTGTCACACACCACGGAGCTGAAAGGAATGTATCATTACATGAAATCCTCGGCCAATGACTTTAATTATTGCTGGCCTGTTGATGATGAGCCTCTATCATGTATAAACCAACAACATCACCTCTTCTCCGTCACTATGTGTTGTGCATGTGTTCTTGCTTGTTTGTGCGCGCGAGCGCACACGGTGTCGGCAACGAGATCAGCAGGTGCAAAGTTCAACTTTATAAATTGGTGTAGTCTTTTTGATGTCACCTCGTGCACAAACGCCCTCTGACTTTTTGAAACTTGGCACTTGATCGCAATTCCGCAGAAGGCTCAGTTACAGTTAAAAACCAACCAAATGGATGTCGGTCGGGATCTAAGCACATGAGCGCCGCCTGGTTTGTGCACTGCAGTCAACATTGCACTGCGCGAAACCATTCCATTTCCAAGTTGAAGAGGTGTATGTCGCTCATAGGCGTACTGGACAGCTCACCGACACCTGGATTTTGGCTGTCCTCTCACCGTGTCGTTAGAGAACATTACATGCTGGATCGTGCCACATGCGTACGGCACGATGCGTTTTTTTTTTTGCTTTAAATTTGGTGCCAAATCAAGTGCCTATTTCATAATGCTAGCGTGCCAAGGGCAATTTGGTACCAAATCTAATGCGCACCAAAATAAGGATAAATAGGAACGAAACTCACTCAATGCCCATCATATCTATGAAAATATTCCGCAAATTTGAGTCCGGGGGCGTTCGCATTCCATCAGCATGGCTGAGTCTTCACTTCGCGTCGAGGTGCATTATGATTTGGTCCCACGAGACCAACTTCACAACAGGTAATGATGAAAAGGAGAGAGTGAAAAACCTTCCGTAGCAAAGGCTGCCGGCTATTTTGAGATCTCACGAAAAACAACAGGTTGGGCTCCTCTTTATCTTGGTTTCGTGCTTTTGAGATTTGGCATTAAATAAGTCCCCTGCCTGATGGGCATGTTGAACGAATACATGCAATTGTGTTTGCTGTTGAGTTGATGAAGGGCAGAAGATGAATAGATATACTTGTATATCTCAGTAGTCTAAAAAATATTTTAGCAGCCGAATCTATTTGTTACGTGCTCCTCACCTTCTGTGCACCCTGGACATACACTTACTACCGCATTGCCGCATTGTGAAATGCATCGATCGCACCGGATAAGCCGTATTATCTAGTGCTGCCCATATATATTCACTGCGTTATCATGCGCGGGGTTTTAACTGGATGTCAACATGATCGTTTGTCGTAATTAACTCTCACTTTTACACGTAAGGCGAACCGAGCAGTGCTACAGCACGTGCGTCAAATTTTTTCAGGAACGAACGAGGGCGCAGAAAAACAATGCCTAGTCCGTGCCGCGCCTGCCGAATGGCATGCGTGTTCAGCTACCCAAAGATGACCGGCGTTATCAAATTGATTAAGAACTTACATTGTCAATCTGATTTAAAAGCTTGTCATGCGGGACACACGTTAACAACTTAGTCTGGCATTTAAGTCGTCGACAGCACGGGGTATGCAGGCCACACAGACGGATTTGTACGGACAGCACAGACGGATTTGTAAGGACAGCACAGACGGGTTTGTACGGGCAGCACAGACTGATTTGTACGGACATCACAGACGGATTTGTACGGACATCACGGACGGATTTGTACGGACGGCACAGACGGATTTGTACGGACAGCACAGACGGATTTGTACGGACAGTATAGACCAATTTGCACAATCGGTTCAGATGGGTTTATTCGGACGGTACAGGCGGTTTACCCGTACCGCCACAGCTCTCACCGTATACATAATTCCATGGTGCAATGAATGCATCAACCAGCCAGCCATTGCAAACCTACACGCTGCAATGCGATCCTTGCTCACACAGTCTACTCATCGCGGGGAATCGCACGCATTGAAGCATCACACTGCGCGAGCGTCGGCCCAGCAGATAAAGCTAATTGATAAGTATACTGATCAAGAGAAAAGCATGCACGGAGTATCAAAGCTTTGGGGCGGTTTCTTCGACTATAAGACAATTGAAACTTGGAGTACACTGCTACTTCTATTGGCTACTTCCATTGGCATTAAGTTAAATAAGACAGTGGTGATAGCCTTGTTCCTCAAGAAAAACCAAGGAAATGGAGATATAGATGTGTTGATATTTCGGCAACATACCCTTATCAAAACGAATAGCAGAAGTTAAGCAAAATAGCAGAAGTCACTTCTGCTGCTCGTTTCGGTAAAGCATTTTGCCGAAATATCAACGTATCTACATCTCCATCCTTTTGGTTTTTCCGGTGGTTCAAAGGCCATTACCATTGTTTTATCTGTATGCGTAAGGCTCCTCGCAAATGCACTTAACAGCTTACGTGACCTCAAGTTAGGGACAAAGGTCAAGGTCAAGTTGGAATCAAGGTCAAACCAGAGTTTTGACGGCAAGACCCACTGTAAGATTTATCTTTTTGCTCTCATTCCGAATTCCCTGATCACAGTGGCGTGAAAAAGGTGTCCTTTTTTGACGC